TAGACAATTGGTTTGCTGTTACATCAATTCCCCGAGGAAATGAGTGAAGGAACGGCAAGGCGAGGAAGTCAGTTCACTTGAAAGGTTGAATTAAGCTGTTTGCGCGTGACTGCAGAGCTCAGCGGTGGCGAACGAACGGCGCGGCGTAGGGGCAGAACCCAGGGTTTGGGGAAAGTATCACGAAAGAGCCATGAATCAAACATATTCGGAAAGTGGAGTCACAGCTTGTTCAAAAGTTCTCGCAGGTACAAGTCTGTGCGTCCACAGACTCATCCACCCATTTCTCTAGCTTCGTTGGCTAGCGTCGAGAAATGGGCCGCTAGCCCCCTGCTTGCAGAAAACTCTTAGAAACAGAGTGCGACACACACGCACTTTCTTTTTCCTCTTTCTTTTCTCTACCTTTCCTGGCTTCATGTTTCGTCGTCTCATACTTGTTCTTTTGCGCGCGCACTGGTCCCAGGTCCGAGGTCGCCAAGGTTTTTTTTACCACATACATTGTCCTGTCTTGTCTTCCTCTCATGTCTTCATCCTTTTGCCCTTTGAGCGCACGCACCTACACCTTAGTCTGGACCCTGGCTTTTAGATTGGCCCCCCCACGGAGGGCCTGTGTGTGTGTGCGTGTGAAACCTTTCAAATCACAGGGAACCTTTTGGTTTCGTTAGCAGGGGACACAGGCCCATCGACGAAGCTCTTCCACGATCGGGGAAGCGGAGACTGATCACCTCCGTGTACCGGCTGAAGTTTGTGGCTCCCTGGATGTTCAGACCTCCTTACTTATTTTGTCCTGGTTCTACTCAGGCTGGCGCGTGGCAAACCGCAATCATTTCAGCGCGCATTTCCCAAGCGTGTGTGTGTGTGTGTGTGTATGCTCTCACGTGTGCGCGTGCTTTCACATGTGTGTGTTCTCATAAGTGTGTCTCGCTCTACACTGCTTCGGATCTTTTGCCAGGATTATCGTTTGGTTCCCCAAACAGCGTGGACACACTTAGGCGTTCTTACAGTAATTATTAAGCAGCTGTGCTTAGATCTCTGTGCCGCGCGGGCGTGTCCAGCTATTTCGCTGCTATTTACAGTACATTCATGTCTCTCGAAATCCTTGGTGTGCATTTCGACTGCGCAGGCTCGCGAAATCTGGGGGCCCGCGGCGGGTGCTTGTCGCGACTGCGCTCTCGTTGTGACGCCGTATGCATGTTCGCACATGGCGGTAACTTTTCGTGGCAGGCGCAAGAGAAACCTCGTGTTTTGGATGGGGGGTACCTTGGTTAAATATTCCAGGTTATACCGTGAGTTCACAGAATATTTTTTGTGGAATATTTTTACAGGAATATTTATGGCTGGAGGTATGTGATACTGATAGTGGAGACAAACCCCAGAATATTTTTTATGAAGAACATGTTGGAGGAGTGATGAACAATGGGCAATCCTGAGAAGAAGGGTGGAACTATACCCAGAATAGTTATTTAAAAAAAACTAAAACTATACCCTGGAATATTTAATCAGATCTGGTGCGGTTTCGCTCGGAACACTGAATGCTTTTCGTATTCTGTGATTTCTGTCGTCGTTCTCTCGAGATCGATCGTGCGGATTAACAGGTTGACACATTTCACAGGGATAGTTTGGTAAACGTACGATAATTGTGATATTTTTGGTTGGTATCAAAGATTACTAAAGGAGACCACAGGCTCATTGGCTCATTTCAACATATCCGATGATTGTTGGAGTGTAGTTCAAAATAGTTCAAATATTCTATCAGTATCCTTGGGGTCACATACCCCTCGAATAAAATAAAAAGTGTGAGAAAGAACTACTCAAGTGTTATCAATCAGGTTTGTTTTGATATGTTCAGCTATGTTCAACATGGTTCCACTCACACAGAAGTAGAAGGATTTCGAAAGGGAAAAATTTCAGAGGACAAACATTGACTGACTTGAGGGTCGCAGAAAAAGAACGCATATTTGTCAGAGCGCGCTTCTCATTTGGCTGTTTGCGAGAAGGAGGGTGGAACTATACCCAGAATATTTATTTACAAAATCTAGAATTTTTCTGGAATATTAAATTCATACAAGTATTCCAGTAACTGGTCAGTTCACAGAATATTTTTTAGATATAACTGGAAGTATATAGGAATATTTAAAAAATATTCTGCAAGGTCTCGACGTGGGTAGGTATCTAAGGCACCCGCCATTGTTTTGGTGGTCCAAAGTCGACTTTTTGTGACAGGTGCAAGGGATCGGAGCGGTTTTGCTTCGAAGTGCAGATTTCGTGGCAGCATGGTGGTGATCGTCGAGGCGCTCTGACTTCATGACAGGCGCAGTGTGTCGTAGCTTTTGGACATATGGCCGTCTCTCTCTCTCTCTCACTCTCTCACTCTCTCACTCACTCTCACACTCGCTCTCACACTCACCCTCACACTCGCACTCTCACTCTCACTCACACTCTCACTCACACTCACAGTCACAATCACTGACCGCCGCCACTATCACCACGATCTGCACCTTCATCACCACCATCACCTCTCTGGACCCCAATGCTTCTAGATCTCTAGACTTTCTGCTGCTACACCTCTACACCTCACACACACTGCTTGGGGTCTCTTGCCGGGATAACTTTTATTTGTACATGTCTCTGAGAGTTGGCCACGGTCGAAGCAAACTTTACAATCCAGATTTACAGTTTCGTTAGTTTTTCAAACGAACTCTGGATTCTGGAACTTATTAGCCGTAGCTATATTGAGTCAGACCCGGATGATCAAAGCTTGCGTTGGAATGGCAGGGCCTTTGTGAGTGCGGGGTTGAAAGGAAGTATGCATGGACCGCAAGCATGCTTGGAGAAGCAGAGGTATATGTCAGAACAACAAGAATTCCCAGAGTTGGGTTGATGACTTTTGATGCAATGCATGGGATGCCGTCCATGGCTTTCTTCATATGTGCAATTAATGCAAGAGCCGTGCCATTGGCGCCGCCCAGTTCCAGCCGCTTGCACAGTGGCCTAGCCAAGTCATTCTGATGTTTCGCATTCGAGAGAACAGGGTTTTGGCCACTGTGCGAATGAAGGCAAATGGCCAATTGGCCTGAACACCACCCTGACAAGTTCCTGTTGTTGCTGAACTAGTGACAACCCGATGCAAGGCTTACTCGCATATCATATTTTGCCAGCTCTCCCTTTCAAGTCTCAGCTCATCTCCGCGGGAATGTTTCACTCCTAGTTCGCCCAAGGTGCTCTAGGTACATCCAGCGAGTCCCAAAAAGACGTCAATCGTCAGTTGCCAGTGGATAGGTTGTGCAACTATTTACAAACCGTCCAGGAGTCATCATCAAGAATCAAGCATGCTTTTCTCCGTGGACAAGAAATTACATGGGATTGTTAAGTAATGTTAAGTAGGAGAGAACATGCCGTACTTTCAACTCCCGGCAGCCGAAGTCAGATAGTCACGAAGGTACTTTGTTTGTTCGGAGGTTCGGAGTTGAGATGGGGGCTGGAGAAGGGTGCAGACTTTGCTGTCTTTACCCAAAAAAGGACTCCTCTACTCTATGGATACGGTTTCCATATGATGCAGCCTCTCAAGAAAACCACCGTTGGTCCAGTCACGGTCCACCCCACTAACAATCAAACTCAGCAGGTAAATTAATCATGGATGTTCAGTGGGAAAAATGTTACTGTACTGAGTTATGCTATACATCGCTACGCGACGCTATGCTAGATCTTGCACTTCAGCACTTCAATGGCTTTTTGGACGTGGAAGTGAACCCTTGTGCTATCTTGTGCTTGCCCGCAATGTGCGCCACAATTTGCAGCCCGAAGGGCCACATCAGTTTGTGACGTGGCAAACCGTCGCTTGGCTCGGACAAAGCTAAACCCGGCTGCCAGCTTTTAGGCGCGGCGCTTTGGGGGTCTGATTGTGAGGGTGGCTCATGTGCGTGTTGAGAACACATGAGAACACTATGCCTATGGCAAGGTTTTTCATGAGTACTGATGGGAGGGTGCTAGTGTTGGTCAGAGTGTCCCCGGCGTGTTTGTAGGTTTTTGAAGCAGACCAACAAAGCATTTTTATATAGATTTATTAATACAGCCGTTCGTGAAATGCTTTGCTTTACCACTCCTTGATATCCTTGAAGCCCATCACGTCATTGAAGCATGTTCTTGAAACTACGATGGTGTTGGTGTCGTGCCCATCTACATTTACATCCTATGTTGTAGGGTAGTTGACCTGCAAATGGCGCTTTTTCACATGGTAATTACCTAGTTCGCACCCAAGTTTGTTTGACATTGATTCCACCGTGCAAAAGATATTTGCAGATGTCTTGGAGTAGGCCTGGTGTAGAAAGAACATACATCGCTTGCTTTTTTGAGAGAGCCGGTGCTGTCACTTCTAGGCCGCCATGGCTGGAGTGCATCCCTCAGATAGACGCGTGCAATGATATGATATGGACGTGATATCCTGACCCCAAACAGTCACTCACAGTGTGAAGGACACCTTGCTAAAAGCCAGTTCCCTTTTATGTAGCAGTTTTGGGTTAAAATATGCGCTTTGCTGCGCCCTTGATTAGTAGTCAATTCCTGGATCACTCCTTCATTGCATGGTTCAGTGTGAGCATACTGTGAAGCCCAGGAGGGCACGGAAGCGCGACCGGAAGCGCAACGTAGCCCAAAGCCCGGAACCTCTGAAGATCCAGAATTCAAGCCTGGCAGGAAGTGAGAGGAACAGTGTAGTCGTAAACTCCAATGGATTTAGGCATCCAATACTAAAGACTTTAGTACTGTAGTGAGGAGTCCATGAATTTCAATGGGCTGCAACTTGAGGGCACCATCGCTCCTGGGCTCCACTTTGGGGCGCCTAGACTGGGCACGGAGCTGAGCAATTGCACGGACAGCCAGATTTCCCCTGGCCAGAACCATCCGGCTTTGGGAAACCTCGGAGATCCATTACAACATTCCAACTCTTACCAGAATTGGAATCATTCAACTCCTTGCCTCAAGCAATGCACCCAAAGCTTGCTGAGCCTTCATTTTTTGGGGGCCTCATTGCAGCATGATGATGACGAAATGGTGAAAGAACTTAGCAAAAACGATGTAGCAACTTGGCGACTTGAGTCACCTGCACTGGGTCAGTGATGCAAGGCCTAGCTTCAAAGGGGGGAATCAGGAGCACACTGGAAAAGACACTGGGTGCAGCCTTTGTTTGACAGCCACCTTGGACGCCAGGACCAACACCCCAAGGCACATATGCAACATGTTTTATCAGATTACAATATATTATGATATAAATGTATTACTTTACTTCGGGTGATCCCCACCATGACGTGTCAAAGATTGGTGTTCATGCCATGGTGAGAAGTATGTTGCCATGGTTGTGGGTTTTGTGGCTTTCGGTTTTGCTTGTGGGTCCTCGGATAGGGAGTCCAGTTGACATCCAAAAGTGCTACCCCGTGACCACCTGCCACCCAAAATGCCACACACACAGGAAATTATATTGTGGCGGTTATGTTTATGGTTGTGTTTGTGGTTGTGTGTTTGTGGTTGTGTGTTTGTGGCTGTGCGTTTGTGGTGGTGTTTGTGATTGTGTGCTTGTGGTTGGGATTGTGGTTGTGTGTTTGTGGTTGTGCGCTTGTGGTTATGTTTGTGATTGTGTGTTTGTGATTGTGACTGTGGCTGTGCGTTTGTGATTTTTTGTTTGTGGCTGTCTTCGTTGTCGCGTGCTTGTGATTATGTGCTTGTGGTTGTGTGTTTGGCATTGCTGCTTGTGGTTGTGTGTTTGTGATTACGTGCTTGTGGTTGTGTGTGTAACCCCTGGAATCACAGGGATCCTGTAGGATTGTGTTTTGGTAACATTTCATTGCAGGGGGACCATCCGTGTACTGTGCGCGATGGTCCAACGAAGCGGCCACAGTACATGCGGATGTCACGGCTGATCACCTTGACGTACCTGCTTCTTTTGTGAATGTTGGTAGCTACATCCCACTCTACTTTCAGGCTGTTTAGGTGGAGGTAGGTCGGCAGACTCTGTGCGTTTCGTCGTCCTTGTCGATCGATCGTTTCGCGGCTTTGCAACTTGGAACCTTTGAGCTTTGGAGGTTTTTGAGATTTTGGAGTTGTGGAGATCTAAGCCCTGCTTTCTTTGGTTTTTTACTTGGGCCGGCGTGTGGCAAACCGCATTCACATCAGTACGTATTTCTATAAGTGTGTCTGGCTTGACCCCGTAGAGTGGCCCCTGTGGACCCGTTGAACGGGGGTTTGTCGATCGTATCCCCTGCCCGGATACAGAGCAGCTTGCAGCGAGCGTAGGGG